CTTACAGTATTTTTAGGAACTAGGGTAAAAGATGCTATTTGCGTGCAAAATAATCCCATAGAGGAATGATTTTTTTTTAAACCTCACATTTATATAATCACATCTTGTAGCCAGCCGTTCTTACCCGTCTGGCAACTTAAAGATTTCCTTTTAGTTTCTTTGATATAGAAATTACCTACCATTAGGTCAGCTACTGGGCCTGTTTAATTGGTATTAAAAGAAAGCACCTCCTTTGCCAGATCTGCTGTGGTTTCTGGCGGAAGCTGTGAATGACCAGCAGTCTCGGCCCTGGAGTTGCAGAGAGAATGCAGTTACCTCTCTATGTTCTCCAGAGGCTTTAGGACTCAACTTATGCAAAGGATAACTAGCTCGTTGCTATTTCATGTGTGAAATTTTAATGAATTACTGGCAGTCTAATGGTTTTTTTTTTTTTAAACCAAAAAAGCCTGTTTTAGAATTTTGAACTAATAGCCCTAATGAGAATTTTTGATTAGTCTGTCATTCTTGTTTGTTGCAATTGATGGATTTCTACTTTTCACACCAACGTTATTTATGCCCTCTGGGGGTTTTCATTTTATAATTAAAATGCTCTGTAAATCTTATAGGCATGCTCCAAGTGAATGCTCCTGTGTACACACAAATCTTTTCAGTCCTTAAAGGTAATTACATCCGACAATAGGAAATGCTGAGATGCTTATTGAAGGAGGGAAGGGTTTCTAGTGGAGGGGGTGGGGGTGAAGCTTTCATTCTAGAAAATCAAATGTTTTACAATATTATAAGCTCTTCCCCTATAGACAGTAGGTATAAGCCTTGGGGGATAAACTAAGAGGAATTTGCTTTTAATGCAAAGAAGGATAATAAAAATAAAAATAGATGCTAATCTTCATTTGGTGGTCCTTTTACTCCATACTGCTGGATTTTAGGGCATTATTTCTCCAGGGTTTGTTTGCAGCTGTCTGCCTTGTTACAATCAGTTATTTTGTAATCATCTCGTGGGGGCTCCTCCGGAGACTCGGTCCACTGCAGTGCAGGGAATATTCTCGATTAACGTGGTGAGATTGCCATGGAGACAGATTGCCTAGTGTCAGGTCTTGCATGGCTTTGAGAATTTACAATCCCCAGACGTGTTTGTAAGCTGGACAGTGTAGTTACCAGGGACGCTTCTGGAAGTCATTTTCTCGGTCCATTGAAGGGCAGTGGGGTTTGGGAAAACCGGCTCTTGGTTCCTCTCTGGGCAGGAGCTGTGCTCTCCCACAGACGCCTGCTGCTTTTGTTCCTGCGTGTTGCTGCTTTGTTCTTCTCGGCCCCGAACGGCTGCTGCAAAAAATAATCCTGACTGCCTGACCTTTAGAATATAAACTGGGAAGAGCTCGTTGTTTAGATGTAGCTTTGTAGACATGTTGTTGCTTTGATTCAGAGAATTGTTCAAGCGAAACCAGAAAGTCTGCTCTAGGTTTCAAATATTGTTCTAATAATAATAAAAATAAACCTGAAAGGGACTTGCATAGCTATATTGTGTTTTATTTTTAGAACTAAGCTCCAGCCACAGAGGTATTGTGAAGGCCCCAAAAACACTAATCTCAGAATAAGTAAAAATAATAATTTATTTGCAAAGCCTAAAAAGTTGACAGTTTGTCAGGGAGAGGAGGGGATAAGAGATGGACTTTAAACAATAACACATTTTGTGCTTTTACATATCCAATAGCCCCCCTTATCCATGGTTTTGCTTTCTGTGGTTTCAATTACCCATGGTCAACTGTGGTCTGAACATATTAAATGGAAAATTCCAGAAATAAACAATTCATAAGTTTTAAATCGCGTGCTGTTCTGAGTAGCCTGATGAAATCTCCCGCCATCCGGCTCCATCCCGCTCAGAACGTGAATCATCCCTTTATCCAGCGGATCCAGCTGTATGCGCTACCTGCCCGTTAGTTACATAGTAGCCATCGTGGTTATCAGATCTGCTATCGGGGTATCGCAGTGCTTGTGTTCAAATAACCCTTATTTTACTTAATAATGGCTCCAAAGCACAAGAGTAGTGATGCTGGCAACTCAGATACGGCAAAGAGAAGCCGTAAAGTGCTTCCTTTAAGTGAAAAGGTGAAAGTTCTTGACTTAATAAGGAAAGAAAAAAAATTGTGTGTGCTGAGGTTGCTAGGATCTACGGTAACTTTTATTACAGTATATTGTAATAATTGTTCTATTTTACTATTAGTTGTTGTTAATCTTAGTGTGCCTAATTTATAAATTAAAGTTGATCATAGGTATGTATGTATAGGAAAAAACATAGTATATATAGGATTAAGTACTATCCATGGTTTCAGGCATCCACTGGGGGTCTTAGAATGTATCCCCCATGGATAAGGGGGGACTACTGTACTATTTTAATCTTTAGAACAACACTATGGTAAAGGGGCATTGTTATTTCCTCTCTTTTACAAAAAAGCAAACCAAGAGGTTAAGCAGGAGGAGGGATTATGATTAATTAGATCTGTTAAAAGGTGCAGTGTGGCGTAGTGTCCCGCTATGGCACTGGAGATGTTGATGCAGCATCTGTTGGTCACTTTTAGGGTGCCTCGTAGCAGTGTTGGCTGGCTTGTTGAATTTCTCTAATCTGGGACAACCCTAGTACTTGGTGATGCTGTAATTCCTCAATAAGAGAAGAGGGCAGCTCTAGGGGAGTCAAACCTATGACTTTTGATTAGAGCAAGTCATTTGCTGTTAGGTTATGAGGGTTCATTCCTGGCTCCTGCCTGCCGAGGTGAATTGAAGCATGCACTGAGTATCTCCTGAGCTTGCCCCAGCCTCATGATATCACTGCCTCTTTGGCCTTTTGCAACCGAAGAACACAGGGAATATGTCGCTTTCAGATGTTTTTTTATCTTACCTCTGGACTTGGGGTGAATTGACCTATGGATAATATGACCAAATTCTGGCTGATTTCTGATCTAGTGCAGTTAAGAATTTCACCTTCATCATGTGTAAGCTGGAAGATCAAATTTATACTGTCCTGGATTGCCCTGTTCACAAATTTCAAAAGCTAGGCCTGAAAAATTAGAGATATAGTCATGATCCAAGTAGACAAAAGAATTTACCAAAGTGTTAGTAGTGAATTTCCCTGGAGAAGGAAGAGAATTGGGAGGTAGGGGTGAAAGAGGACTTTCAAGTTTTAGTTTATACTCTATAGTTAGGAAAAAAAAAAAAAAAAAATATATATATATATATACACACACACACACACACACACACACACACACACATATTTAAAGCAAAAAAAAATTCTTAGGAACTAGAACATGGTACTGCTTTTATGGCTTGGGGATTTAGCAAGCTGTAGAGAATATTGATCCTTTAATTGGATGAAATCTAGTCTGCACACTAAGGTTGTTGATAGATGTTTTAAACCAGGAATTGGAACTGAATGAAATATTGATTTGGTTCAGGTTCAGTTCAAAGGCTACTCTGATAGTCTGGTTTTGTTTCAGGTCAATAATTTTAGAAAAAGGCTTAGGTACAGTACAGTCTAGTTGAGCTTTAGAAGAAAAAAGGGTTGGCTCAGTTTTGTATTCAGGAAAGTAATAGTTTATTCCAGGTTTTGCTTTAAGTTGCTGCTTCAAACAGAACTGTGACACAAAAGTGAAATCATTGGGTGTTAATTTTATTTGACATGGAGGCCTTCAGTACCATTTTGTGGTTATCAAGTTAGATAATGGAATTGTACGTAGCAAAGCTAACCCATCACAAAGTGTTTTGTTTATATTGAGATAAATAGATACAGAGTTCAAGTGGGTTCCTTGAGGCATGATATATACAATTAAGGACGCCACAAATTAGGATCTCAGTTCTTCTGGGGTTTTTTTTTGTTTTGTTTTGTTTTTGTTGAGAAATTCCCTCTGATTCAGGGCAGTTTTCCTGGGGAATTTCCATAAAATGCATTTTATGGGCTGAGAACTGGAGTGAGGCTTGAACATGGCAGACACTCACTGGTTGTAGCAAACTGAGTGTGAAGTTGATGGTAAACATTGTGATGAAAAAGTATGTTTGGGTTTGGTTTGCTTTCCGAAAAGATATTTGAGAGACTCAGTTGGGCCACATGGTTTTCACAGAATCCTCTTGACGCAGTCTGTGTTTGCAAGGGAATTTTCTTGTTGGGGATGGCCATTGCCCTGCTTGAGAACTTCACCTTTTCCCTCAGTTTGCATGATCAAAACTGGTAATGCTTCTTTTGGAGGCCCCAACAAATGCTACTCTGCAAACTGAGAAGTGGTATGCAGGTCTCTGCATCATATTCTAGATCGGCTGCTTTTTCTTTCCTGGGACTACCTGACATCACAGCAAATTATTCTATTTGAACTCTCCAGCCGAGCCAATTAATTCTGACTTCCTGAGGGAAAGAGTGGTGGTAGGATGTGTTTGTGCAGTGTCAGTCAGAATTCCTGGGTCCGGGGCTACCTGGCTTCCTGCTTCAGATTCAGAGACTCTCAGATTCAGAGGATTGGGGCCCTACAGTGTTGTACTCAACAATGGCAAATTTTTTCCTTGATTTCACTATTTCTATTAAGAAAATGGTAACCTAATTAATCGGTAATGAGGATGCCTCAGAGATCTGTTTCCCTGTGAATCAGTCACTAGAGACAATATGATTCTAGTAAAGCCTCAGCATATTCCTCAACAAAAAGAAAGTGTATGCAAAAAATTCTGGGTACTGCTACAAGTTGGATTAGTTAAGAGCTTGTGTGGTTGATGGAAACAGTTTACGTAAGTGATGCATCATGAGGGAGGGAGTATTATATAGTCCTCTTCTTCCTTAGACTAATTTTGGTCAATTAACTATGACCTTTCTTGTCAAATAGAAAGAACACAAAGTGTAACTTTCTACAACAGCTCCTCATTGTGTCCTCTGTGTCTTTTTCACGGGAGTGACTATTTTTGGAACTCTTCCTGGAGGGTTGCATGCTGAATTTTTTCAATCCCCAACTCCTCTCGGCTATGCTTTGCAGGAGAAGCTGTGCCTGAGGATGAACAAATCAGCGCTAAGGACCAGAAGACCCTGGAGCCCTGTGATAACACCCCCATCATAGACAACATCGCTCCTGTTGTTGCCGGCATCTCTGCAGAGGAAAAGGAGAAGTATGACGAGGAGATCTCCAGTCTCTACAGACAACTCGATGACAAGGTCTGTAGGCAGAGATTATAGTCCTTACTTTGGTACAAAGACTAAAGGTGGCAGGTCCCAGACCTGTTGGCCGGAAGCAGCTTAAGCCCCATGGAGCTGAAGTAGGGTGCAGACTAATGTTTATGTCCGTCTTCCTAACATCTACCTAGCTCTTGATTGGTCAAACTCAGGGAACTTGATTCATGTGGAATGGAAACTTTCATGGAAATTTGATTGGAAGAGTAGAGTGTTGACCTGGAGAGACAGAGAGAGTCTTCACTTCTAGAAATCGGACTGGGGCTGATCACTGCATGAGAGAGTGTGTGTGTGTGTGTGTGTGTGTGTGTGTGTGTGATCTTTGTTTAATTCTCTCTTCTTTTCTTCTCTGGGCCTGTCCTTCACCTCTTAGAAACTCCAACAGTAGTGTCAGCTGTAGGGGCAAGGGAGGTGGCTCCCCAAACTCAAGTGTGTACTTTAATCGTGTAACTCTAAGGCCCTGGGATGAGGAACCAGTCGAAGTGGTGTGTGGTCTGATGGCTTCTACCTTATTGGTAAAGCTGTGTTCAGGGGCGTACTCTTGAATGCAGTAGTTTGGACACGCTGATTAGGGATATCCAATTTTATGGCAAACTTTTGGGACTCAAATAGTCGTGTCAGTGCACAAGTTGGAATAGAGGAAAAGAGACCTTGGAGAACACTGTGTAGCATTCATCCCCAATGAAGGTCAGGTTAGGAATCCCAGAAGTGTAGGAAATTAAATTAATGTTTCACGTGATCTTGGCATATTGCCTTTGGAATATTCTAAATCCTTTCAGTTCATTTCATCAAGGTTGCTGATATTTTTAGTCTGATTTAAGCTTTTTTGCTGTGGTTCAGCTCAGAGTGCATGGGGACACCTCTGGCATGGATGAAACAGCTTTGTTATATTAACATCACCACTAATCTAACAGGCCTCTCTCTTCTGAGTACCACAGAGTCTGGTATCGCTTTTATAAGAGAAATGTCTGCTGGTCTGCTTTGTGTTTGTGACTCTGGGAGTTCGCATTATAACCACAGTGCTAAACTGGGGTCACCCTGTCCTTCTGGTAGCATATTTAATAAGATGTTCACACCCATGAGAGCAGGGTTAATTGCCCTTTAGGCACTTGACATACTGTTATCCTTCCATTTCTCCTCAGGTATTTTATGTAAAACCTCAAACCAAGTAATAGAAAAAGGAAATTAATAGTAAGTTAACAGTATATACGATTTCTTGATTTCTCCAAAGAAATGCTATTGTTTAAATATACTGCAATTTTTTTTTTTACTAATTTTAGAATTGGTGAGTTCATTTTTAGTAATCCCCAAAGAATCTGGGATGAGGGGTGATAACCTGATTCAATACTCTGTTTTCTATGAAAAGACTCCTGCCTTGGTTGGAATTGGGATTATTTATTTTGGTGGCATGAGGAGCTTTCATGGATCTGAGAAAGATTTTAGAGTCTTGAATCCAGCTTCCGGAAGGTAGTGATGAGGACCGAGCTGAGAGTGATGAAAATGCCCTGCCCTGTGGATATTCAGTTGGTAGCTGGCAGAGCTGACCCTAGAGTCTCTGCCTCCTGATGACCAGCCTAGGACGTTTTCTGTCATATCATTTTCCTGTGGCAGATGCCTTGAAAACCCTGTAAAGCATACATTGCAAGGCTGGCATTTGTGGTCCATCACAGGTTGATGCCGAGGGATCTGGGAGAGAACTGAGCCCAAAAGCGTCAGCTTTAGAGGGCACCAAAGCTAGTGGTTTGACCTTAGTAACTCTACCCATGGACTGACTGATTATGTCCTCCAGATGTCATTCTTATTTGTCCTCCTCTTAAGGGTTCTAGAAGGTATTTCATGCTTCTGATGATGTAGGTAGTTTGATACTTTTGAGAATACATGAATTGGGACACAGCATCTTCATAGATTATTGAGTGGTAGAGCTGAAAGTATCTAGGTCTGGATGAGCAACTAGCCCAGGGTGGTTACATGACTTGCCCAAGTTTACATCATCCGTAGGTGCCAGAGCTGCAGTGAGGTTACACAGCTTCTGACTCCCAGTCCAGTGCTCATCCCATTTTGGCCTTAGTCCTTTAAAAGAGGAACTTGTCAGCTCTAATGAATCTATTTAGAATGTGGCAGGAGAAAGACATCACAGCCTCCTCCCAGCTGCCCCCTCTGTCCCTCTGTGCTTCCCCTCCAGGGGTCTAAGGACAGATCCTCTCCTGAATCAGTGCTGTGTGATGGAAAAGCACGCACTTGTGAGTCAGACCTGTTATGTGACTTAATGTTGAGACCTGGCTGATGACCTAAGCTGCTTAAGGTGTTTTTCTCATCTGCAACATGGGGCTCATATCTGTTACTTCAAAGGTTACAGTGGGGATTAAAAGTTTCTAGTACCTAGCTGATGTTCAATAAATATTAGTTTTTTTCTTTCTTTCTCTCTTCTCCTTTCTGGGTTCTGTTTGCTTAAGGGAGAATCCACATCATATGTGGTATCTGTGGGGTGGTGGTGCAGAGGTGGGCTGAAAGCAAAGTTATAAGATGAGCAAATTGGTGTTGGCACTCTCTCTCTTATTCCTCATCACCTCTCCAAAGCTACTGTACCATTGGAGATGGATGAGGGGAATTAAGTGTAAGTAGAAATATAAGTTGAACCTTATTTCACTGATTACCATTGCAACAAAAACATCTTTATAATTAAAGGTGACCAGTGACCTGTTGACAACTCACCTATTTCATGTATAAGAAAATTCAAGTACAAGAATATTTTCTGAAAAGTGCTTTGAAATCTGTTATCCACAGACTAGATCTTAATAGTCGGCATGAGAGTGAGCATGTTCTAATGCATTTGAATGTATAGATACAGATTGCACAGCACATCTTATTCTGAAAGTTTTGAAAAATTTTTAAAAAATCTCAATAGACTATGCTAATTCCTTAGAGAAGTTGCCTTAAGTATAGTTTTGGAAATGTCTCTGGTACAAGTGATTCATGTCCTTGTAATGTAATCCTTGTTCTTCACCCTTCCCAGAGGGGCTAAGGGCCTTTGGTTTCTCACTGTACCTCAAAAATCACTGCACCCCGGCTTGCTACCTGTCCAGGAGAAAGCCTGCATCTTCAGGCCTTGAGATGAGCACAGGATAAGAACAAAGCGCTTGCTCCACCGTTTTGCTTCTACTGTGATTTATATCACTTGTAGCCGTTGCTTATACGTCCCAGGGGAAGAGTTGGCAGCTCCCCGATGTTAAACTCCTTGAGTCTTGTATGTTAAGTTGTTTAATATTTATGTGCCGAGGACCATAAACACGAAATCATTCCTGGTAACTGACATTCTAAGTTTATAAAGTAGAAAAGAAAATATGCCCTACAAAATAGTCTTCTAGTTGTGGAATTACCATTTTTTGGCGGTTTCACTCTGGTGTAATTTCCCTAATTCTCGTGCCAGAAATCGGATTTAGGGAGGAAAGTCGTGAGTATTTTGTAGAACCATTAAAGGAACATTGGTGTAAAAATTTCAGTAGAAACAGAATCTCCTTGAGCAGAAAAATAAGACCAAAAGATGTTCTACAGAAAAGGAAAAGGAGTTACAGATTCTGTAATACTGATTTTAGAATTTTCTTGCTCCATGGAAAGCATTAGGTTGTGACACTGAGTTAATCTGATTTAAATGTATGCATAGACACGAGCAAACAGGCTGGAGAATATCCTGTGGAAAACTGAGGTTCTGCCACCCAGGCCCTTGAGTTCACCCCTCACCTCACCTCTGGAAAAGGCAGAAAGCACAGTGCAGGTTTTTTTTACAGGCTGCTGATGAAAACACCTGGGCAGCACCTGGCACAAAGAGGGAACCAATAATACTGAACTGAATCTGACTCTGCTTAGGGTTGAGACCCTAGAAGTGTCATTAAATAAGATTTTCTCCTGTTTCTAAGGGAGAGGCACGTGTGAAGTCAAGTTGTCATTCTTCACAGGCTGTGCCTCAAAACTGCATTTGAGCTCATGGAAACCTTCGTGGTGAAGACTGAGTCTCGTGCAGTTGGGCGTGGTCCGCCTGCTGCTTTGCCTGCGCTGGATGGACGGTGTCTAGGGGGAGGCAGAGACATTTGTACTGGGCGGTGAGAGGCGGGCAGCTCTGGCTTTTGTGGCAGCAACACCTAGTGGCAGAAAATGAGAGTGAGGAGAGTGTATTTGCCTGTGGGTAGATCCTTTCCCGCTTCAGTGACAGGCCAGAAAGTAAACATTAGCATTTCTGTACCCCCAGCTTCCTTGAGTTTCTTTGTTTTTTCTAACTGGTAAGAAAATTAACTTCTAATCAAGAAGAGGTCTGCTCTTGCCAAAGATTAATTCTCTAGTAAATGTTTTTCCAGTCTTTCTAAGTAAGAGGTTTGAAGCAGAAATCCATGTCTCTCCTGCCTTTCACATGGCAGCATTCCTGGTCACTGATGTGTTTGACAAGATTTGGGACTCGAATATATTACAGTGCAGATTATTAGAAATTTACTTCCTTATTTTTTGAGCTAGGAGTTCACTGTTGACCTCTTGGTATTGGGAGAGATAGCTCCCAAGGCCCTTTCAGTTCCCAAATCCTAGATCTCTTGATTTCTGGATGAACAGGAATTGAGTTGAATGTGTAGAATATTACATTTCCCAGAATATTCAGATATTTCATCTGCTGAGAAAGGTGAGTGAAGTAGTATTTTAGCCAAATCAAGATCCCAGAACCAATATCTCTGCTGTGGGGAAGCGCCATACCAGTCCGTTCATCTTATTAGCGAGCTAACAGCTGGCATCCTGGTATCGACTGTCATTGCAAAACCAGGATAGCAAAAATGACATAACTAACCAAAAAAAATTAAACATGATGTTTCGTTTCAGGATGATGAAATTAACCAGCAGAGCCAGCTGGCTGAAAAGCTAAAGCAACAGATGTTGGATCAGGATGAGGTAAAGAATACAATAAAAAAAATTTTTTTACAAGGTTCTTTTATTACTCTTTGTTGTTGATGTTTATTCCAGAAATTTAATTTGCAAAGAATTTTTAAAAATCACTGAATCATGTGGAAAGATTTCCTTTCAATGCCTGTTAAAAGCTGATTTTAGCTGAATTTAGAAAATAAATGTCTGACTTCGTAGAGCCCTGGGGCTTTGAGAGTGAGTAGCTGGTTGCTACACTTAGTCTTTGAAGAACAGAGACAAAGGAGCTTGGTAGTTTAGCAAGGATGATTTTACTTCCTCATACCCAGAGCCCAGCACTCCTGTTTCTTGCTGTTTTAGTCTTTTTCAGCTTTGCAAATCAGCCGGCCCAGGTCTTTGATGTACACCATGTTCTCGTGCTATCTTATAGGGGGGAAAACCCCAAAGAACAAAAGTGGCAGGTAGAGGAGGCAAAAGCAGAGAGGACAGGCGTCCAGGTGCTGTGATAGTGTGTATGTGATACAGTGAAAAGAAGGCAAAGTGTTTTCAGTCTCTCCCCCATGGTATTTAGTTCTCCAGGAAATGTCTTTATTGCACGGTGTTTTGCCAAGTATTTTACAAACAGGAACCTAAGCAGAGGACAGAAAGCCAATCTATCAAACATGGATAATCAGTAATTCTCTTGCTGAGGACCATCTAAGTATTTTTTCTCTTTTAGGCTTTAGGGTGCTTTCTGCTTTGTTGCCAAAATGCTGTAAATTGGATCCCGTGATGCAATTATAGCAGATGGTTTAGGGTCATGTGCCCAGTCCCAGCCCTCCCATAGATATAACTCTCTCTGTAACCATTTCCTTCCTCTGCCTCTTTGTTCCCCTTCATCTCTGCAGGGCAATGATTATGCCCCCTGCCCAAACACTTCCCTGGGCAGGGAGATCGTCTATGCCTTTGCAATCAGATGAACCATATTTAATTGATCTCCCTCTTACACATAGTTGAGGCTTCCATTTGCTTAGTATTTCCTGCACTCTTCCTCCCATTCTATTCCTTTGCATCTCCCACTTGATACAACTGCCTGTGATAAACTTTCCTTTCTGTTACAATTAAAACTGTTAATATTTTTGTTTTCTATACTGTCAAGGCAATCTCTGTTCATTACAGGAAAATCAGAATATGCAGTAGGCATAGAGATAATGAAAGCATCCACAAAGCCAGTATTCACTTCTAACTTATGTTAATGTTTGGGGTATATCCTTCTATACATCTATGATGAATATTAATAAAAATTGATGACTACCCTTTTATACTGTTTTGGTTGACTCTGAAATTGACCTGTTTACTATGTGAAATAATTATAATATTTAAAAACCATGTTAAGTATTATTATAGTCCTCAGAAATGATTCCCCCCATGAGTTAAGCCTATGTAGCTTTAAACTGAAAAAAAAGAAAAAAAAAAGAAGATTTTTGAAATAACATGCTATTTTTTAATTTAGCATCTGGATATACGGTAGTGTTTCTAATCATTCTGAGCTTTTCCAACTTGTTTTCTTGTGTCTGGTTTTTAAAATTACTTTATTTTGGATAGAACATAGAACATAAACATTTGAATGTTAGATTCACCAGTTCCATGCTCTCCCATTTCCCCAGCTTTTAGCTTCCACAAGAAGAGACTATGAGAAGATCCAGGAGGAGCTGACGCGTCTCCAGATTGAAAACGAGGCAGCCAAAGATGAGGTGAAGGAAGTTCTCCAGGCCCTAGAGGAGCTGGCTGTCAATTATGACCAGAAATCACAGGAAGTGGAGGACAAGACCAGGGCCAATGAGCAGCTGACGGATGAGCTGGCCCAGAAAACGGTTGGAGCATTTGTGTCTAGGGGGCGCATTTGTGTCTAGGGGGCGGGACTTCCTCAGCTGCCATTCTTGTACTTAGATTGATGTTTGTTGACAGACAGTATATAGGAAGGCAGTTGGCTGAATGGTTTTTCAGTGTCAGACTTAAATGCATTCTCTGAAATCCTCCAATAATTGAAAGACTTTGTGTAAGTAACTTTTGTCTGCTCATCTCGGAACTGCACATCACGACTGTTTTATATCCAGGGGATTTATAACGTTAGCAGGGATGCCTTGTGGAGTAGTCAAGAGAGTGTAGACTTTGGAGACAGAAAAATCTTAGTTAAAATTTTGACTTTATAACAATTAGGCCTTAGTCCAGACATTTAAACTTCTTGAGCATTCATTTCCTTATCTGTAAAAATGGTGATAATAACATACTTATTTCGGGGCTTGAGAATTAGTGACAGTTTACATAAAGCACTTAGCATAGACCTGTGCATGTGCTACAATATCAATAAATAAATCTCAAAATGTTATATTAACAGGTGGGAGTGGGTGACTCATGGAAGGTATGGATTTCACTCTTCTTGTTTACACCCTCGTGAATGAAATCCATTCCCTCCCCATGGCTTCTTGTCCTGGCCCGGGACTGAGCTCTCCTGGTTTGTCTGTTGTCCTGTTTTAGGCCAGTGCTTCAGTCTGCACATTTCCTAATCGTCAGAGTCTCCCTGTGAAAGATGCTGCAGGTTCTGCACAGTGAGCTAGCAGCAGCAGGGCCAGTGAGCATTTGGTGAGGTGGCTGGTGGTGGGATGTGTCCATTTTGTCTTTTTCTACTTGGAGAATGGATGGTAGGAAGCTGAGTGGCTGTTACCAGCTGCCCTTGGCACCTCGCTCGGCCCGATGGCCTGGTATCATGGGACTGTGTCCAGCCTGCTTTGTGGAAAACATCCAGTCCTCCTGGGCAGGGGGAAGTAGCAGATGGTGCAGAAAAGCTCTAATCTGCTGACCGTAGAGCTGAACGAAAATGCTCCTCACTCCATACGTTCAGCTGCATGGAGGAAGACCTTTTTAACGGCTTCCCAAGATGGAACTTCTGCTTCCGTGGATTTTTTTTTTTTTTTTTTTTGTGAGGAGATCAGCCCTGTGCTAACATCCGCCAATCCTCCTCTTTTTTTTGCCGAGGAAGACGGCCCTGGGCTAACATCTGTGCCCATCTTCCTCCACTTTATATGGGACGCCGCCACAGCATGGCTTGCCAAGCAGTGCGTCGGTGCGTGCCCGGGATCCGAACCAGCGAACCCCGGGCCACCGCAGCGGAGCACGCGCACCTAACCGCTTGCGCCACCGGGCCGGCCCCTTCCGTGGATTTTAAAAACAAAATGAAATAAGCAGTGGCAGTGCCCAAACAAAAACAAGCAGAAAAACAAGCAGAAATCGTGAAGTCACTTAGGAAAGGAGGAGACTTAGATGTTCTCTGCTTACTGTTTTCTACAGGATTCTTTAACTAGTCCTTGGTCTTATTTGCTTCTCAAATAATTTCTTCCTTTCTGTCAAACCAAAGTATTACTAGACTGGTTGAGAGGACTGTTTTTAGTCAGATCTTTAAAAAGTGCTCTGGTGAAATAGCTGCATATTGAAGAATTGCATAAATGTCTTTGTATTAACCTCCCCAGCTCTGTAATTTAGGGAAATTATTTTTTTTGTTGGCTGAGTTAATACCAAGACACCAAAAGATGGCTGTTCTATTCATTTTGAGAGTTCATTAAGTTATTAGTCGAAAAAAGTATGCCTTTTGGTAACATACATGAGGGATGGAAAAAAGATAGATTTGATAATATTTGGCAATAAAATGGAATTTCTGCTATATATTAAGAAGCCATCTTTTGTTGAACTTGACTAATTTTGAAAAGAGATGATGAGTCTTCAATTCAACTTCACAGTAACGATTAGAAGACTTTTTCTAAGTCATTTTCTACACTTGTTTTTGTCCCTCTGGGCCTTCCAGACCCATCTATTATTATGAAGTCAGGTGGGAATTTGGAAGTGGTCCAGGGAGCCGGTTGGTTTGGGAGTGCAGGTGGGTATGCTTGCAGGTATGTTTAGACCCTGGAGAATGTGGACTGAAACAGAACATCTGGTAAGCAGGAAGATGTGATTACATGTTATAAACCTAAGGGTTCCTCTTGGGCTTTATTTATTTTTAATAAGCAAACTTATTTCACAGATCTGGAAGTCGTCGTCTGATATGTAGATATGTAACATATCAGGCCAAGACAAATTCCTCTTCTTCTCACAGAATACAGTGCTATACTATAGTTTGCCTTAAAAGGACTCTTACGTTGAAATCACATAAAATGATACAAGAATTCCCTCCTACATTATGTTGTTGTTCTCTGCACTGCTGCATGTATTAAATCAACGGACAACTCTTTTCATTTGTTGTTAACAATTTGTTTTTCAGACTACACTGACAACCACACAGAGAGAGCTGAGCCAGCTACAAGAGCTCAGCAACCACCAGAAAAAGAGAGCTACCGAGATCCTGAATTTGCTGTTGAAGGATCTGGGGGAGATCGGTGGAATTATTGGCACCAATGATGTGAAGACTGTAAGCCAGCCCTTCTTTTATCCTCTCTACCTGCTCTTATAATGGCATGATTCTAAGCCAGCAGGGTCTATGTTTTATTCTCCTAAGTATCCAATGCTTAGCACAGTGCTTTGTATCTGCCACGTGCTTGATAATATTTGAATGAATGAACAAAGGCTGATTGAATGACTAAGTAAAAGATTGTTTGGGTGAGGAGGAGGAGAAAAAAATTTACTTTTAAAATATAGGAAATGTCTTCCAATCTTGGTTGGCCTTATGTAAATTGGTTTATTCCTCAAACTTATCTGCCAGTGTCACAGAAGTTTGGCATTAGATAGGTTAAGCAACAGTTCTGGTCTCATAATTGTGTTTTTCCTTTTTTATGAGAACCCAACAGAGTGAAAATTCTCCAACAAATCAGTATGAATTAGGGAAGCTTTCAGCTGATAGTAATAGGATTCTAACAGTGGCTTAAAAAAATAAAGCCACACTTAATTGTTCACAATATGAGAAGTCTAGAATCTTGCTGTTCAGGTTGTGATCTGTATCACCTGGGAGCTTGTTGGAAATACAGACCCTCAGGCCCACCTCAGACCTACTGATTGAGAATCTGCATTTTAACAAGATTCCCCAGGTCATTCTTACACTTATGAAAGTTTTAGAAGCAGATTTTGATTTGGTGCAGTGTTTCAACAATGTCGGGGATCCAGGCTTTTTATTTCCTTTCTGCTTTTCTCAGCCTGTTACCTTTTCATATCTGTAGGTTTTTGTCTCATGGTAGCAAAAGAGCTGCTGTAGCACCAATCATCACATCCTCACACAACCACATCCAAGGCAGGATGGGTTGAAAAGACAGTCAGCTTTCGTCCAGGAGGGAACTGTGTCCCAGAAGTCCCCAGTAGACATCCTCTTATACCTTATTGGTCAGAATTGAGTCACATGGTCACCCCAAACTGAAAGGGAAGCTGGGAAAGCAAAGAGAAATAGGATTACTATAATTGGCTTAAACCAACCATGATTAATCCTCTGAAGTTGTGCACATTGGTGCCGTTGATAGCAAGGAAGTAAGAGAGGTAAGAAGAATGGGGGTGGTATAAAGTTGCCCATGAGCTAGGAGCAGAGGGAAAAGAGAATAAACAATATTGTCAGCCAAGAACAATAAACCATTTGCCACCATGTAGAGAGGTCATTGAAAAATAAAGTAGACATTTAAAAAAATAGCTTTCTTGAAGTATAATTGACATCAAGTAAGCTACACTTATTTACAGTGTGCAGTTTGGGAGGTTTTGACATATGTATGCACTCATGAAACCATCACCACAGTAAGAGAATGGATATATCTGTCACCCCCAAAAGTGTTTGAGACTGTTTCTGATCTCTTTATTCTGTTTCATTGATCTAATCTTCATGCCGATACCACACTGTTTTGATTACCGTAGCTTTATATTAACACAGCACTTTGTCCAGAGTAGCCATTAATAAATGTGGATTGATTTTATCAAGCCAAAGGAAAGGTGTGATATTGCTCAGCTTACGCCTCGCAAGTCCCTAAAACCAAATTCTCTGAGTTTAGTCATTTGACCTTTAAAAGGCTAAATTCGACATCATCCTGCTCTGTGGGAACACTCAGGTTTGGAGTTGGGATTATTAAATACTAGAAAAGTCTCTCCCAATTACTTCCGTTTACAGACATTTCTGGGAAACATAGAAAGTCCTGCTTGGATGATGGTATGGCTTATCTAGGCTTAGAGTATATGACCTCCTGTAAACCTAATCATTCTTTCATGGAACCTCTGTTGTAACTGAATATTTCATGAGTCTTCACGAATGAATCTAATGTTAGCATTGAATTCTCAGACACTATAAAATTCACCCTCTTAAGCTCTGGTTTGGTGATGTTATATTTGAGGATTTAAGTTTTAGAAGCATACGTTGGTGTTGAGCAATAAACTTCAGACATTGGGGTGATTAAATGTCCCTCAAAATACAAAGGTGGAGTTGATGTATGGGAAGTTGGCGCCTGCTGCTGATAGAGATAAAGGAAGATATTTTTATGCTGAGTTCTAAAATAGAGCTGATGAAAAATGCTAATGAAATCGAGGAGTGTCTGGGTGCTTCAGCATTACAAAACAAGAGTCTTTACCTTTGGGAATCTGAAGTGTGATTGAGATTATTTTTAAAAAGTGAATGTTTTAAAGGTATTTTTGGATTCTAGACATTGGATGCCCTAGTTAATTTCATTGATAACTAGTTAATTTCATTGATAACTTTCACTTATAGAGCATTATATTCTTAATCATTTGAGGTTTTTTTAATAATTATGATTTAATTATTAGGACAATGAGAGCTAACAGGAGGAATTATGTGACTTTGGGCAAGTCACTGTACTCTGGGCTTCATTTTCCTAATTTGTAAAATGACAAGATGAACCCAGATTATCTCAAAGATTGTCAGCTCAGAAATTACGTGATATATACAGATATTTCTTAGATCTGTCATTATGGGTACAGATACTTTTCTCTTTTTTTCCCCAGCTTTATTGAGATATAATCGACACATAACGTTTTATAAGTTTAAGGTGTATAAGTTGAACGTGTTGATTTGATACATTTATATGTTGTGAAATGATTACCACTATAACATTATCTACCACCTCCATCCCATCACATAGTTACCATTTCTTTTTTGTGGTGAGAACATTTAAGATCTACTTTCTTAGCAGCATTCGAGTATATGATACAATATTATTAGCTATAATGACCATGCTCTTCATATAGATCCCCAAATTTGTTAATCTTGTGACTGGAAGTTTGTACCCTTTGTCCAATATCTCTCCACTTCCCTCACTCCCCAACCCCTGGTAACTACCACCCTACTCTCTGTTTCTCTGAGTTTGACTTTTTAAGATTCTACATATAAGTGATATATAGTTTCCATCTTTCTCTGTCTGGCTTATTTCACTTATTTCACTTGAGGGATGAGCCCTCAAGGTTCATCCATGTTATTGCAAATGGCAGGATGTCCTTTCTCATGGCTGACTAATATTCCATTGTATATATATACCACATCTTCTTTATCCTCATCTATGACAGACACTTAGGTTGTTCCCATATCTTGGCTATTGTGAGTAATGCTGCAGTGAACACAGGAATGCAGGTATCTCTGCAAGATCCTGATTTCAATTCCTTTGGCTATATACCCAGAAGTGGGATTATTGGATCATATGGTAGTTCTATTTTTCATTTTTTGAGGAACCACCATATTGTTTTTCATATTGGCTGTATCAATTTGCAATCCTACCAACAGTACACTAGGTACTTTTCTCCACACCCTTACCAACACTAGGTGATAAGTGTTGATAGCCATTCCTACAAGTGTGAAGTGATATCTTATTGTGGTTTTGATTTGCATTTCCCTGATGATTAGTGATATCGAGCACCTTTTCATGTACCTGTTCGCCATTTGTATGTCTTTCTCGGAAAAATGTCTATTCAGTTCCTCTGCCCATTTTTTGATCAGGTTATTAGTTTTTTTGCTATTGAATTATATGAGTTCTTTATATATTTCAGATATTAACCCCTTATCAGATATATGATTTGCAAATATTTTCTCCCATTCCATAGGTTGCCTTTTCATTTTATTGTTTCTTTTGTTGTGCAGAAGCTTTGGTCCCACCTATTATGGATACTTTTCTTACTGGTTATGACTACTCAATTGATATAATTATTTTGATCTAAGAAAATGAACAGATCAAGGAAATCTTTTTCACTTATCTTTTATTTTTGTTCCTAAATTTCTATTCTGTTCCCACATGGTTCCTACTTGTAGTACTGTGGGGTGAGGGGGAAAGATGGCAGTTAGTCTCTCCCAGTCCTCAGTTCCAGAATATGACAGGTATGAATGGCCAGGAAACAGAAGAACCCATATTTCTCCAGCTCACTTGTGTCTTGAAACATTTTCAGAGTCCAGGCAATATTTTGTTTAGTCAACAGAACAAGATGAGACCAGAAATGATAAGATGAGCCTAGTGTTGACTTTATCTAGGTTTATTAGTGAGCTTTCTCTTCTTTTCATGTTCCTATATCACTGGGCTTTCCTTAAAACAAAGATTTCTAGGAATCTAGCCACAAACCGAATAGAAAGTTGAGGTAGAGAAAATGAAATGGATTGGATTAGCTGCTAATTTTATTTTGACCAGCCCTGACTTCTTTATTCCCATTCTGCCTTTTAGGTCTTAAAATGTGAACAGTCACCTTACTTACCTTTTGCGTGGCCTAGAAATGGCACCTTGCATGGCCATTCCATTCTCTGGAGACAGAGGGTGGGGTATGGAGGATGCGGGGGTGACTGTTCTTGTATGGGCAGGGTAGAGGTGGCAGGCAGCATCTGCCTTGCCATGTGAAGGCAGCCTTTTCTCCTGGATTGGTCATTCCTACTGGATCACACAGTCTAGTATATACTATTGGAGTCATTGTCAGACCCAGGGGAGGGTTATAAATACCATTTCAGCAACAAAGTCTGATTCTTTTTGCAATAATAGTATACTGGAATTACAGAAAACTTTGAACTTACATAACTAAATATATGAACTTTTAAGTGGTAAGAAAACTCACAGTTAAAAGCCATTTGTTTGGAGTATTGTTTTATTTCATCAGGCATGGACTCAAAATCTTTTAGATCCCCTGGGACAAAACTGAGCTTCAGATTCCATATTCCTAGCTCTTAAATGTTTACTGAAAAAATAGTCATGTGATGAGTTAATGACAGCAATAATGACAAAAGTGCACAGTTAGAGTGTACTGTGGAACATCAAAAACTATAGGTGAATGATTGTCTTAGAACCGATAGAAACATCTATTCATGGGCTGGGTACTGGACAGCGCTCTTTTCTCCTGAGGTGCTAGGATGCCCTCTGGTGGTTAAACAAAATATGCACACAGTTATTTTGCTCATCTGGTCAATTGCCATGTTTGCATCTCAGCAAATGGGTTTCTATCCCAAATATCTTACTTCAGTTTTTGTTTCCAGTAGAGCTCTGAAACTTAGACACCAAATATGAGCTCATGCGGGAATGCTGGCTGTCATAATCTTTTCTTCTAAAGGTGGATGTAGACTTATTCTCAGGTGATCTTAAATAATAGGCTAGATTCCTGTCTGCTTGGAAGGGTCAGGCATGTAGAGGCAGGGAAACAGAGTGGTAGTAATGAGAAGTCATGCAGGAAAAGCTTCATCTAGAGGGGCTTTTGGTAATGGCACGTTCTTATTTGTTAGTTTTTTTGTTTGTTTAATTGAGGACTATATAGAAAAATCCTTTTTATTTCAATCCTTGCTTATAGAAACATATTCAAGTCATTAGATGACTTCTCTCTCTGAATAGCAAACTATGGAGAGCATAATTGAAATTTTGATTTGAGATATTATAGGGACTCAGACTCACTTTTAGGAACATGGGGCCTGGCTGCTGTTCTAGAGAGGCAAGGTATAAGACATTGAATGGAACACCTCTTCAAAGTTACCTCTTTTTTTAATCATCAATATCTTCTGATATTGTCTCTTATATCCTAAAAATCAGTTGTAATGAAAAACCTGGTTAAGTGAGGATTATATTTATTAGAGGTTTTTAATTGAAAGTTTTATCTGAGTTTCCAGAGAACTTGGGGTTGAACATATAGTATTTTTCAGAGATCATTTTCAGCTTGTGGTCCTATAAGTAGGGATTCTTAATCAGAAATCCACAGACATCTTGAGGATCCATGGACAGGTTTTAGAGGCCCCATGAACCTCTGAAAATTGTAGGCACTAGTTTTGTGTGTTACCGCCTGTGCTCAGTTGGCAGATGTGAATGGAGTCATTGAAGAGGAATTCACCATGGCTCGTCTGTACATCAGCAAGATGAAGTCGGAGGTCAAGTCCCTGGTGAACCGCAGCAAACAGCTGGAGAGCGCCCAGATGGACTCCAACAGGAAGATGAATGCCAGCGAGCGGGAGCTGGCAGCTTGCCAGCTGCTCATCTCCCAGGTAGGTCACACTGTCGTCTCATTTCACACCCTTGATCTCTTGAAATCTGCTTCCTCCATGCTCTTTCTGGGGCTGATGGTACATAATAGGGATAGTTGATGGACTTTCCTTTATATAAGACCTGTCCATGGCCTCCCCAGGCAATGATGGCCCAGGCTAATTCTTAAGGCTAGATTTTGTTGTATGAATTACATGAATGATCTTCAGTCCTTTTTTAAAGGATGTGTCTATATATCTCTATCTAGTTATCTATGGATAGTTAGGTAGGTAGGTGTATAGATAGAGACATGTAATGAATGGACAAGATCGGGTGGAATCTAAAACTCACCAGTGAAGACAACATTCCTTCATCTGTTAATCTCTACCACAGGTCCGATATTATATGGGAAAAAGAAACTACTGTTACTACTACTATTATTTTTTTTTTTTTTTAAAGATTTTATTTATTCATTTTTTTCCCCCCAAAGCCCCAGCAGATAGTTGTATGTCATAGGTTCACATCCTTCTAGTTGCTGTACGTGGGACTCGGCCTCGCGCTGGACGGAGAAGTGGTGCCTTGGGGCGCGCCCGGGATCCGAACCCGGGCCGCCAGCATCAGAGCGCGTGCACTTAACCGCTAAGCCACGGAGCCGGCCCACTACTACTATTATTAATAGTAGTAGCACGTAACATTTTATTGAGTGTTTACTATGTACCCATATAGTGTGCCAAGCACTTTACTTGCATTATCTCACTTGATCTTAAAAAAAATCCTGGTGGACAGGTTTTATTACTGTTCCTATTTTTCAGATAAGGAAACTGAGACTTAGAAACATTAAATATACTGTCCAAACTCATGCAGCTGTGAAAGGCAGAGCTGCGACTCAAACCAACGTGTGTGAACTGAAAGCCTTGAAGGGACTTTCAAGCCCCAGGGCACATTTCGTTCGCTCAGTAAGGCTGTTCCTCTTCCCACTGGAATGGCATTTTCATTTTAGTAAGGTGGTTTCGGAAAACTGCAGCCTGGTTCCTGGTGTGCCACTGATATCTGAGCTTGGTGTGTGGGGTCTGAGGCTTCTGTGAGTGCTGCTCTCTGCCTTATACCAGGCATACAAACAGCTGAAGTCGTTCGGGGGAAACAGATACCAGCATGGAGTGTGGCATCCAATATTCTGAGAGAGACAAAAGCATACTCCATTCTAAACATACTAATAAGTGATCACAGAACCATCTCCAGCCTCCTTGACTCCCACCATAATAATCTAAGAGATGCAAATTAAAACATCAGGGTTCCATTTTATGACTAACATAATAAGCAAAAGTGTATTAACAAGATTATTCAATGCTGGTGTGTGATAGTGAGATTTATATATATTGTGGAGAAAAGCATAATTTGGTCAGGTCCTTTTGGAAAGTACCCTGGGAATCAAAACCTATAAAAATGTAAGTCCACTTTGGTCCAGTTATTTCACTTATGGTATTTTTCATTGGTAATGAAAATAAAAATTTTCATTTCATATGGTATTGTCATTTCCTGATTAAAAATATGAAAAGCTTATATGGAAGATGTTGAGTGCAGTTTTATTTACATTACAATAAAATACCCAAATATCTATTGATAGATTAATAACAAAAGTTACATGGAAGAATATTATGTGGCTCTTACAAAAAATTAATAAAACCTAGCCATTTGGAAAGTATAATTATATAAAGTTAAGTGAAAATGCAAATGCTGAGTTCTATCTAGGCTATGCTTTGCAACTTTGTAAAATATGCATTCATATAGATAAGACTAGGAACATAAGGGAGAAATAGTTGATAAATTAGAGTAGTTTAGGTGAAATTTTTACCACTTTTTCTGGATTTGCTTTACTATTTGACATTTTTATCATTTATAAAAATTGAGAAGAAAAATGATCACCATTAGGGCACCGTACACCTCAAGCCTGATTTCCAGATCACTCATTACACTGATGGTGTGTACTTTTGGATAGTCTTACCCCTAACATGTGGGGGCCAAGGCAAGAGTACAAATAGAGGCCCCACAGCCTGCAGCCCACTGTGACCTCTTTTCATCTGGATGGACCACCCTCCATGTCCAAATCCCTTCTGCACTTTCTCTGAATTGATGGAAGTGTGTAACTGTGTCAACTGTAATCTATGTAAGTGGATGATGGAGGCAGCGTGCTGGCCCTGGGATTGGCTTTACGGCCATTGGAGTAGGGAGTTTCTAGGTTCCCAGTACTCAAAGTGAGGTCTAGAAGGGGATATGGGTTCCAGGTGGGCACACTCCCTTGGCACATGAGCTCTTTTCTCAGTGGAGTGGAGTGCAGCCAGAGGACAGCACAAATCGGGTGCTTTAAAGCATAGAGCCAAGACTGGGACTCAGTGGCTCAAATCTTAGAGTGACTCTGGCCTTGGGTATATGAGATCAGAGTCAGAAATATCAGGATGTTTGGGGGTGAAAGAATACCTGTGTTAGTTACACAGTGCATTCTACATTAGCAACAAATACAGTTTCCATTAGGGGCTATTTTGTGCTCTGCTACAATTTACACAGAGCCAAAGAATCAATCATTATTCCCTGGCGTTCAAAAGTAAGAGAAACCTTGGCTCTTTATTTTCTGACATTATCTAAGGAATCTGACAAAATATTTCTCGCTAAAATACTATTATCTTCTTTGTTTACGCTCACATTCTTCACCAAAAGCTGTGCTTATAAAATGACTGCTCGAACTGAGTCCCATTTCCCAGAGGTTATTTCATTAGATTAGAGCTCAGTCTCCAGGGTCTTCCTGCCTGAATGTGAACCCTCTAGATCTGGAAGGGGGAGTGTCTGCACATTTCTACCTGCCTAGAAGTGATTACTGCCCCTATTCAGTCAGTGAGCGCCCGTTCATCCATGCCAGTAATATTTAGTAAGCATGTACATTATACTCTCATGGAGCTAACAAGTAAAAAAAAAAAGAAAAATCATGTAGAAGTTAGGTGCAATAAGAAAATGTTGAGGCCTGAGTGATAAGGATCTAGCCAGGACTATGTCTGGGAGTGTGGGGCAAGAGTTTGCTAGGAAGAGGAAAATATAAAATGCAAAGTCCCTGAGACAGGAATTGGTGTGTTTGAGAGACAGAAAAAGAAAAGACATAATATTTGACTTCCAAAGACAGAATCCAGAGACATGGGTTCAAAGAATGGGGCCTCTAGACATTTTCCCAGCCCCTTTTTCTCCAGCACCCTCTGTTTTCTAAGAGGAGGAAAATCAGCTTGGGTTTTGGTATCTCACTTGAGGGGATGATAAGGAGGGGCATGGCCATGAGTGGTGTCTGTGGGGAATGAAGCAGAGACACACATGGGAGAAGCAGAGGACTGTTTTGGTCCATGATCCCGGATCCCAAACAAAGGGGAGAATATGCACCATTTGGTGTTGAACTCAAAAAAGGGACTCAAGAACGCCTCCTCTGTTGCATCTTCCCATCAGACGGTCCCGGGCAAGCCACTTGCTAGTCATTCACTCCTCCTTTTTATCTATCTGCTTGTTTAAAGCACGAAGCCAAGATCAAATCCCTGACAGACTACATGCAGAACATGGAACAGAAGAGGAGGCAGCTGGAGGAGTCCCAGGACTCACTCAGTGAAGAGCTGGCCAAGCTCCGAGCCCAAGGTAAATAAGTGACTACTTTGCGGGTGTCAAAGTCTTGGCTTAAATCAGACACTCTCTAGTTGGCTGGACTCATGATGTTTAGTTTTGCTCAATTAAAGCCTTTCCAGGTCTACTGAAAACAATGGCATAATTGGAAAAAAAAGGAGAAACATCTAGAAGACTGCCCCCACCCCATATCTGCTCCTCTTCCCATTTTCCCTCAGTCCGCCCTGCTGCCTGAGTCAGAATCCTCTCCCCTCTCCACCTCCTGCCTCCAGTCTGTCCCCAAGGCCTGTTGATTTGACTGGCCAGATGCTCCTCTGTTTCTGCTCATCTCTGTCTTCATTGTCGCTGTCCTTAATCCTAATTAAGACTTGTGGCCACATCCATCACTGAGGGTCCCACCCCCAATCTGCTCTAGGCTGGCCACTGTGCTGCGTCCCAGGGGACTACAGTCATGCGCCACATAACAATGTTTCGGTCAACGATGGGACCGCATGTATGACAGTGGTCCCGTGAGATTAGTACCCTACGGCCTAGGTGTGAGTAGGCTGTACCATCTAGGTTTGTGTAACTACTGTAGGAGAGGAAGAAATTTTTCTCTACCATTTTAATTTCTTCTGGCTGATCTAAGAATTAAATTGACATGAGACAGAATAACAGGAGAAAAACAAACAAAAGTTTAATAGCATGTATACCTGAGAGAAACCCAGGAAAATCAAGTAACTCACCAAAATGGCTGAAGCTCTCACCTTAAATACCATCCTCAGCTGAAAACAAAAGATGATGTTGGGGGTGAAGAGAGTCAGGGACTTCAAACAGAAGGAAGGCAATTCACAGGTGGGTGAAAAGGAGCAAACATTTCAAAAACAAGTATTTGATCACACAGAAATAGAAGAACACAGAGGGGAGCCCAACAAACAGGCTTTTCTAGGTTCCTCCCTGTCTACCACCTAGTTCCTGTTTTGCTAAGGTGATAGCTCCTTCCTGAGACAGGCTCTTTTGTTTGTTTGTTTTGGTGAAGAAGATTGGCCCTGAGCTAACGTCTGTTGCCAATCTTCCTCTTTTTGCTGAGGAAGATTAGCCCTAAACTAACAACCGTGCCCAGCCTCCTCTATTTTGCATGTGGGATGCCGCCACAGCATGACTTGATGAGTGGTGTGTAGGTCTGCACCTGGGATTTGAACCTGCGAACCCTGGGTGGCCAAAGCGGAGCGCACGAACCTGACCCCTATGCCAGTGGGCTGGCCCCTGAGATGGGCATTTTTAATCTGAATTCTTATAGGCAGTTAAGGGGGTGGTAGACAAGAAAAACTTTCTGAGTCTTTTGTTTCTTAAAAATAATCAGCCTAAAATAATCCTCATGTTAAAGAGACGCGTTTTGGAGCGGCAAATTTTGTTCCCCTTCAGTACACTCTATGATACTTGCACAACAATGAAATCACCTAACAACACATTTCTCAGAATGTATCCCTGTTGTTAAGCGACGCTTGACTGTATTCTAAAATCAGATTCTATCTTGTGCCTAACCCCATGCTTCTGACCCTTCCATGGTGTCTGTTGTTCTTAATAGAAAGTCTGAACTTCTACCAATGACTTCCCTGCACCCTCCATCCTTTGAACAAGCTCTTCCCTTTGCCAGGCAGCCTCCCAGCCCCCTTTCCATAGGGAAGTGCCTGACACATAGGAAGCACTCAATCAATATGAATAAAGAGAAGCAGAAATTCAAGAGAGGTGACTAGAAATACAGAAACCAGAACAGGATCTAGAATATATGCATTGTGGTGAAACGGGAACACATGTAATATTATGGGTTGCAATGAAAATCGTTAGAGTCCTTTTGGAAAGCGTTTTGAAGATACATAATAATCATAGCACTTTTCATACCTTTTGATCCTCATATCTCAAATATTCATTGCAGATTTACTTATATTAGTGGGAAAAAAAAGAGGAAGCCACCTAAATATCCAACAGTTGAATGAACTGTATAGTATGTTGTTTAATAGAAGATTGTTTTCATACTGGAGATGAAGTACATGGAGGCAGTGCAGCTACGCTTACAATGCAACCTTAGATTAAAAATCATAATGTGTAATTTTATCTTTACTCTGGTTATAACATTTAAAAATCAAAGGATATTTGTGTTCCAAGGCCTACAAATTAATATTTGAAATGAAAATGGTTTTGATAGGGTAACAGGATTGGTGATGATGTTATCATTTTTTATTTCCTTTATTGTTAAATAGTTATTTGCTTGGTAAATACATGTTTTTTCAAATGCCAAAGCAAATTAAAAAAGAACGAGAACATACCTGCACTCGCCATGACCTTGTAATGTTTTCTTTGTGTGATAACGGATGAATGTTAGGAATAGAGTGCTCCACCCAAAACTTGACGTAGAAAAGAACTTTTCCCTCTTGTAAATGGCTCTTGCAGTGGTGCCACCGAGTAGAAATAAAATAGAAGGGAGAAGACGTGAAATAAAGTGGAACAGACTAGAGAGAATACTTAATGACTTGAATGTCACTGTCTTAAACCATTTTGCTCCCTCCACCTGCACCTCCCAACTCAGGCTGCCCACTAACGGTGTGTCAGGGAGTGTCGCTGACCACGAATGGGCTGGGACTGGCCCCCTGGAAGTGTGCCACACAGCAGCCCTGCCCCAAATATGGGGCCTTCCTGTTTAATATGGAGAGTGTTATTTTATATTTCTATTCTCTTTATTCTTATCCTTAGATTATGTTTTCCTGCTCCAGATTCTTAGAGAATAAACAGCTTACCCATGGGAGGTAAATTAGCTCTTTCTGGAAATCTACTAGTGGCATGAATCCAAACGCCACTAACAATCACAGAGTGTTTTATAATCTACAAAGCACGTTTGTGTACATTGCATGTTTATGTACATTGCCTCGGAGTTGCTCCCCGAGGCCAGGTGGGGAACTAGTTCTCCAAGGCGTGAGGTGATGCACAACCAGGTCCATTCTAGAGTGGCCTGCTCCAAGGTAGCGCCTACAATCGCCACTCTGCCCCAGAGGACTTAGGTAATATCCCAGGAGGGGGTCAGCCCTGCCTTAGCCAGAAGTCCTCCTTAGGAAGTACTTTCCTATAATTATACCATGGTTGCAATTGGTGGTATAAGCTGGTGTTTCACTCTATTGCTGTTCTTTTCTTTTGTTTTTTAATTTTTACTTTTGAGTGTGAGTCCTGCCAGTTAAATCTTAAATCATCATTTAAAATTCAAAACAGAAAAAATGCATGAAGTCAGCTTCCAGGATAAGGAAAAGGAACATCTGACGCGGCTGCAGGATGCTGAGGAGATGAAGGTGTGTATGGCCGCCTCTTCCACCGAGCCTAGCGTGCATTTGGACTGGATTTTCTTGTTCTAAGAAAATCTGTCTCCTTCAAAAATGTGTGTGACAGTGTGGGAGGGAGAGGGGAGAGACTGATGCTAGGCATTCAGAACCATTCTCGGAGTGTGGCCTGGCTTAGAAATCTTGGAGGTGTCTAAAAACTCTAGATATCTGTAGATAATAATGTTACATTAGTACATTTTTCTTCCCCATTCCTGATGAAGTGGGAAAGAGCACCACCTCCCAGTCACTGTGTGGGCCACACTGTTGGAGTTAACGTCTGAAGAAATGTTGGCCCCTCCTTTGAATGGAAGAAAACACCCCTCTCCTCTACCTTTTTAAAGAAACACCCAAAATTTGAATTTCCATCTTAAACATACAAATCTTTATTTTTGGTCACATTTATGGTCCAAAATAAATTTGTCCATAAATTGTCCATTTGCGGACGGTAAAGGAAAATGTAGGAAAAATGATTGGGAAACAAGATTTTTAGGTGAATAAAATGAGATATAAGAAAATGTAGAATTTTATTAGTTGTAGGCAAACTATAAGCTCATTGGGCATAAGCCCATAGTTAAAGCGGTGCCCACAGCATGACCCTGCTCCAGCCAACAGCACAATCGTCCTCACCTTGATGGGCCGTCTCCTGGTTTCACATCGCTTTGGTGAAAAGATCTCCTTTGAACATCACCATAAGTGTGTGCAGTGGGCAGGGTGGGGACAATTATCTAAATTTTACAGGTGAGGAAATGCGGCTCACACAGGTTACATGGCTTGCCTGGGGTCACCGGGTAGTAAGAGGTCCATGCCCTCTGATTTACCTGGCCGGAGAAGCCATGTAGCTCAAGTGAGCTGTAGAAGGTGAGGGGAAAACTTTTTACTGAAGCAATGGGCTAATTTGCTCCTAGGACCCACTCAGTTTTATTTCAGATCCTTGGGTTTTGTTGTCCCAGTAAAGGACGGCGGGTTCTGGGGGGCCCCCGTTTGGGGATCTGACAGCCAAGGGGTGTAGGGTAGTGGGTAGAAGTGATCCAAGGCTTGTCACCGAGTGGGCTGAGAGCCAACGAGTGGATGACACATCTCTCTTGCCCTGGCTTGCAGAAGGCGCTGGAGCAGCAGATGGAGAGCCACCGGGAAGCTCACCAGAAGCAGCTGTCCAGACTTCGAGATGAAATTGAGGAGAAGCAGAAAATCATTGATGAGATTCGGGAGTGAGTTGGCATGGGGGCTCTCAGGGCATAGGGGTGGGCATGGCTCTTGGGCCAGCCTGGAAGGATGTGGCTTTTAGCCAAGGTCTCTACTCTCCTCGCCCTGTGGGCCCTGTGCTCCACCCTGGTGCCCCAGTGGGCTGGATGTGCTGCTTCCGTGGTCTGTTCTGCCATCTGGAGCTGAGCCTATGGGGGCTCTGGTAGGGCAGGTGGCAGGTGGGCCCAGCTGCCCTTCCTAGTCCTCGTGGAGCAGGGTCACGTTGGTGCCTCAGCTGGGCAGACATGTGATGGGGACACAAAAAACCCCTAAATTGGTCCTGACTCAGGGATTCTGATAGGTTGATAAATACTCCAGAGAAGACAGCTCCCATTGCCTCCTCACCCCAACACGTACATGCACACTGCACAGCTCCGAGCTGCCTGGTTGCATGTGCACCCTGCTTAGGGACCCACACTGTTGTGTGTCTATGCTCATGGACCTGTGGCATTCGCCAGGATGGCATCATTGCAGCTTGTCTCTGGTGATGCCCTCCTCAAGGCCATTCTACTGTCCTGTCACAGCCACTGAAGAGCCCCCTGCTCCATAACAACCTCTCCCTCCTCCTCTCTTACCTTCCCGCCTCATTGGTACCAAGCCCGGAGGTGCCTTCAGGATCCCCTCCTGAGGGTTCTTAGAGTTTTTGCACAGTGAGTCCCTTGGCAATCTTTGAACCTCTTAGTGGAATAATGTTTTTAAATGACCCAAATAAAAGACATAGGAAAACAAAGAAAACCAATTATGTAAAAATACAGTTTCATCCACTGACACCCTCCTGCCGGCCCCCCAGGACTAGACCAAAGGCTCCCTCCCCTCCCCCTTTCTGCAGATGAAGGAACAGATTTCTATGTGGAAAGCAAGGTTAAATGATTTACTTAGGGTCACACTGCTAAATAGGAACCAAAGCGGAGTTAGAATTTAATTCTCCAGACTACTGATCCAAATCTCTTTTCAGTGTTGTGAGCTGCTCGCACAGCCCATTTGCATTTTAAAAGAGGAGACCAGTAAGCGAGCAAAAGCGTAAATGGTGTGATGGGGATTCTGAGCACGGTCCACCTAAGGAAAGCACTCCGCATGTCTCCCACCTCTCCTTCTGGGCGACCCCATGCTGACCCCATGCCTTCGTTCATGTTGTGCTTCCCCCTGCAAGCATGTCTCACGTCTGTTATTCTGATTAATCATCCTCAAAATGTTCAACTTGAGGGGGAGAGGAGAGAGGGAAGGAAGGCGAGAAGGAGGGAGGGTCCATGAGCGAGTTATCAGGTGGGGAAGTTTCCTTGGCCTGTGCCTTTCAAGGGGACTCTGGGTTTTCCTCAGACAGTGCCTGATCTGTTCCGTCACAGTCAGAGGCATGCCATACAAAAGATTTTATCAGTACTGGGCTGATGTAAGCGTTGGCCTAGTGCCCCCAACTGGATGGCGAGTTTCTTTTTTGCAGCAGACCCTGGGCTTCCTTTGTGTTTCCTCCCTCTGAACCCCCTTCTTGAAGATTGCACAGATCGGACCTGCCCCTGTGTCAGCCAGGAATTTGGATTCAGGAGATGTTTGCAGAATATCAGACCAGAGAAAAAGGGAAGGGCAAAATGGCCAAATAATGTTCCCTGAGTGGGTGCATGCCATCTGGAGGGCAGACAAAGCAAAATTCTTCTAACTTTTTCTCTGGGCTCTCTTTGTCTGTTTTAAAATATCAGCCCTTTTCCCATCTCATTATTTCTCCCCCAAAGCTCTTACACAAGCCAACTATAAATACATCCTCAAAGCCTTATGTTTCATACCTCTTTGATGCTCCCCAGAAATTAGTTTTCTCTTGGGTAGGAGGAAGCTGTGAGGTTGTTCTCTGATCCCTCACCGTCCTCCCGAATTGATGCCTTTATTGCGTAGTATTAATGGGGTTGGAACAGAACCACGTGTTTAGCCGGAGGACTCGGAACTTCAGACTGATGCGGAACGTATCACTTTTTCCTCTTAATTTCAGTTTGAATCAGAAACTGCAACTGGAACAAGAGAAGCTCAGCTCTGATTATAACAAGCTGAAAATAGAGGACCAGGAGAGAGAACTGAAGCTGGAAAAGCTCTTGTGAGTGCACTTTACGTACCTCCTCTGCATCTCTCAGCCCTGTCAAGTCTTGTGAAGTCTACTCTTGTGATTCAGATACCCAGATATCCTGGTTAGGTCAGGCCAATGTAAAAACAGACAATGCATATTTGTGCGAGTTGGTTTGTTTTGTTGATTTATCTGCAGATGCAAATGGTATCTGTGGCAATCTCTGGTGCCCCTTTGGTGGTTCATGGTTCCTTTTTGTTTTTTAGATTGCTCAATGATAAAAGGGAACAAGCCAGAGAGGACCTCAAAGGGCTGGAGGAGACAGTGGTATGTCAACATGTTTCCCAATTCATTTTAGTCTCAAAGATCAGATTAGTTGATGATTTGTTGAACTTGTTTATTCTAAAATTTTTTCTGTGCACACCTTCCTTGCATATCATTTTAGATATATCATAAGTGAGAGGTGTAGAATTTATTCCCTAGCTCTTGACAGAATGATTAACCATCAGTCAATCAATCAGATAATCCATTCATCCATCCTTAATGCCGTAACCCTGGATCCCCTGAGTGGGAATTAAACTGAACTGCAAATCAATGGCTGCAATTTTACAGCCTCTGCACGTTGTGACTTACTTCCATTCAACATTCAGCAAGATATTTCTAGTAAGGGCTGGCATGCTTCTAGGTGCTTGAGTTACATCGGCAAACAACAGAGTAAGATCCTGCCCCTTGTGAAGCTTACCTGCAGCTGGGGGAGACAGACAATGAACAAGGAAGTAAATCATGACCCCCATTAGATGGGTATAGAAAGTGCAGAGGGTGGTGGTTGGGACACGAGAAGGCGCCAGGAGGAGGTGACACTTGAGCAGGGATGAAGCAGGTGCAAGAGTGAGCCATGGGGATATCTGGGGGAAGAGTCTTCCAAGCAGAGGCAACAGCCTCTGCCAAGGCCCTGAGGTGAGCCCATGCCTGGCATGTTGGGGAACAGCAGGGAGATTAGTGTGGCTGTGGCCAAGAGAAAGAGGGAGTAGGAAGTGGGCACAGAGAGGTCAAGGCAAGAGGGGGCGCAGGCCAGGTAGGGCCTTGAGACCTGCTGGGTTTGGGGCAGAGGAGTGACAGGTCCACTTACCTTTGGAAAGGCTCATCATTTGAAATCCTGGTTTGTTTTCTCCGTCCTGCATCTGAATTCACTGGGTTTGTCTCCTCTGGTCAACTTCCATTTCAGTGGCTGTAGAGGATGGCTGCCTGGCTCCGAGGGCCCTCAAGAGCCCTTCAAAGTGCTACACCAGCCAGTGTTTGAAGACAGACCATCCCAAATAGCCACTCAATTTGGTGAAAACATGTGCAGTTATTTCAAAGATATAACAACAGACAGAAACTGTTGTTTAGACACAGTCATATGTTTTGATTCCATTCATGTGTCATGTGAATATACGTGGGTCTGAGCCTGTCTCCAAGAACCAGGTGACCCCAGGCTGTAGGCACTGGTTGCTCAAGGCGGGACCTGAGGCTCTGCTCTGGCCCCTGGGCCGGTGTTGGTTGCTCCTCAAAGCCAGGTAGAGGAACGGAGGGTACAAGCTGTTCAGGAGAGAAGTAAGATGACTGTATTCAAAGGAAGGAGAGAAGTAAGATGACTGTATTCAAAGGAAGTCAGGCCTTCCGAGGATGGTGGAGATGACGGTCAGGGCGGCTGTGGGGGCAACTGAAATGAAGCCATGAAATTGCTTCATCTGTGTCTGTTTAACTGGAGAAGTGATACCCATAATTAGAGATAACTATAAAAATTCGGAAAAATATTGAGCATTACAATGTTACCATATTCCCACCAGCCAGAGATAAATGATGTTTTAGTATCTTTTCTTCCTTTACACCTATGAACTCTTGCACACTCCCTTACCCTGCCATACCCGCCCTTCCACACCCTCACTCAGATGTTCACTCTTTTACCTCCCACTCTCTCACAGTCTCACTCACTTACAACTTACCCACACTCGTGCACAATTACTTGTTCCCTCACACATATTCATGTACACACATCATCACACACACTCACACCCACACTTACACCACTCTATGCAAGTGCTTATACTCACTCACTGTCACACCACAGGCCCTCACTTTCATGTTCTCATGCCTGTGCTCATCCACGCACTCACACACCTTCACTCTCATCCACCCCCCAGGTACTTACAACTTGCACGCATTCACTTAACACACCCCCATGACATACACACACATTCACACTCACTAACGAGCATTCACACCTTCTCACTCACAAGTCATTCTCATGAACTCATTCACTCTCACATTCTTGCTAACCCTCAACTCACACCTTTACTCACACCCACGCTCATTTGTACACACACGCATGTACCCTTGCACAAATGCTCACTTAGTACATTCCACCAACACATTCATATGTAGTCACATTCTGACACTCACAAGCACTCACACTCTTGCCCACTTACACAGTCACTCACATATACTCATTCGCTCTCACACTCTCGCTCACCTTCACTCACACGTTTACACTCATCTCCATATGCTCACTCTCAGACTCCCATGCTTTCTCTTTTTCACACTCACTCAAGCATATTCTTTTGCCTTTTTGGTGTTTTGAATACATTTTTTAACCACACATTTTCCTCACTGTCCTCCTCATATCTATCCACTCGTTCTCTCTCCCTCCCTCCCCCCGACCCTCCCACCCACTCACTTCCATTCCCACACTCACATTCACACCCTCCCCCACACACTCGCTCACATGCCTGCTCCCTCTCACTCGCACACCCCCCCACACACCCAGTCACCCACACGTGGACAGACCCACTGACACAGTGGCTCCCACTTTCTCTCACTCACCACCCACACACATCACACACATACGCTATTTAAACCCAAAATTGGAACCTGACAGTATGTGCCATTTTAGACTTGGATGTTTTCACTTAACTTTCCATCAGAATCCTCCCCAAGCTGTAAATGTGCTTCAGAAATAGGCTTAACTGTCCTCAGCTGACCCTTCTTGAGCCCCCTTTAGCTCAAGCCCTGTTCTGCCTCCTTGCATGTCTAGGCGGGGCGGGGGATGGAACCTGCCGTCCAAGGCTTGGAGTCTGTGAAGCCCCCTCCAGGGGACCACGTTGGAAAAGGCTGACTGGCTGTCGAGGGCGTCTCTGGGCCCCAGGCAGCCAGCACGCTTTAACAGGACACTTGATCTTGGCTCTGGGGCTGGAGCCCCCTCCTGCTTTGTTGATGGGCCTTGTGTTTGAGTCTCTCTGGTCCCACCCTCGCTGTCCACTCTGACCAGAAGCTGAGCCCTGAGCTTTTACACAGAGGGCAGCGGCCGTGACGGGGAACGATTTGACGGAAGGGAGTTGGGGAGTGGAGTGAGGGAATGATAATGAATGTGATGGAGGAAAATTCATTGCTAGGAAGCCAAATGATAGTTGCCTAAGCATAAATGTGCAATTTATAAACTATTTTGAAGATCTTTAACTGCTCCTCCTAAACTGTTGAATTCACCTAAAAACAAACAAAAATGAGAGAAAGTTGCCAAACTCAGGACTGTATATTATTTGGTATTTAGGCCCCAAGGAAATGCCTGGCCCTTTGACAAGGCACCTGTGTCTTCTCTTCTCTTTTCCCTTTGGTGTGGTGGCGTTTTTCATGGAAAATATTTACTGTGATTCCAATTCAATCAGTAATAAAATCCCAGAAGCAGGAGGGAGAGCATGCAGAGTGGGGTGTAGGGGCTGAACTCCTTGAGCAGGGGTGTGGAACAGTGTGTCTGCATAAATGTGAGCCCTGAGCTGCACCCCTGTGCCTGCCCTGGAAGGCAGCTAAGCCTTGGACAGGTACAGTGTGCACCATGTTCATAAGAACAGGCCTGTTTGGTTTCCTGCAGAAAGTAATTTGCAGGGCCGGCCCCGTGGCTTAGCGGTTAAGTGCGCGCGCTCCGCTGCTGGAGGCCTGGGTTCGGATCCCAGGCGCGCACTGACGCACCGCTTCTCCAGCCATGCTGAGGCCGCGTCCCACATACAGCAACTAGAAGGATGTGCAGCTATGACATACAACAATCTACTGGGGCTTTGGGGGGAAAAAATAAATAAATAAAATCTTCAAAAAAAAAAAAAAAAGTAATTTGCCTCATTCGGGGACGCAATTGACTTCAGGTGCTTTTTATTTCAACACAAAATTGCAGAATTGGACCCAGTAATAAGACCGAAAATTAACATAAAACCTTTATTCTAAGGAACTTAGTGTTCCCATGGCTTTATAGCCTGTTTCATCCTTTTTTCTGCGAGCCTGTGAGTTGCATCCCTTGACATTCCGTGTTAAGAGTAGACCAACTTGGACTAAGTGAAAAGTATAAATGTGAGATTCTCTCTCTCCTCCCGTACGGGAAAATATTTTGCAAGGAACTAATCCTATCTCCTATAGTAAATACATGGAGACTTAAATGGAAGAAACTGTTTTGGTTTTCTGATCTTGTTAACAAAGGTCACCAGGGTTGACTCAGACCCTTGTCTCAGCAATCTAATTCCTAAGCGTTCATTTGTCAAAAATAATCCAAAATGAAGAAAAAAAATGCCCCCAAGGAGTTAATTACACTGAAAGTTATAACAACAAAAGGAAACAATAAAAGCCTAATGAAGAAATGGCTGTCAGATATGAAGCATCAATAAATTAATACCAGCTAATGTTTATTGACCACTTACTATATGCCAGAAACTGTTATAAGAGTTCTAGAAGTATCATCTCATTTGATCTTGACAACAACTATGAGGCATCTACTATTTTTATCCTCATGTTACAAATAAGAAAACTGAGGCACAGAAAGGTTAGATAAGTTGCTCGGGGTCACCTGGTGGAAAGTCCACCAATGGCCTGGTCTGTAAGCTCAGTGATGTAGAGCAAATGAACATATGGACCAGGGCCAGGAGGGGTAGAAACAAGAAAAATGTCAGTCAGTTAGGGTGGGAGACATTGTGGTCAACTTTTCATTTAAACTTGTTAACATTATATATAATGTGGATGTGCTAAATTAGAGGAAAAAAAGAATCCCTTCTGGTACAATACAGCCTACTAGGAATTTTTATGAGGAAACTTTTGAATTTTTGTGGTTGAGGGGGGAAAAAATGTGTTCCATTTGGAGCACAGCAAATGAGCAGGCTTTGTTCTAGTTTATGAATCATTGTTTGAATTCTCAGTCTCCGCACCCTGGGGTGCTCCTGAGAGAACACTGGGTGGGGGGAGTGGACACGTGTGGAGGGCGGGTCAGAGGAAGTGCGGGGGCACTATGGCCTTGACTGTGGGCTCACACAGCGTGTGTGGAGACATCTGGGGTTGACGGCCGAGGGCTAGATGTGCCATAAATTCAATGTGTTCCCCCACTCAAGTGGCACTTTAACAATCTTCTTTTCTAGTCTCGAGAACTGCAGACTCTGCATAACCTCCGTAAACTCTTTGTCCAGGATCTGACTGCCCGGGTTAAAAAAGTGAGTTCTATTTTGTGTGACTGGGACTGAGAAGAAAAGAAAAGATGGCCAGGGAGAATCATTTTCAGTTGAAATATCACTTGGTTAAATTGGGGCTGGTTATGCTTAAAAATTAATTACCTCATACCAGAGAATGTTATTAAAAGAATGTGCTAGAGGCAAAAAAAATACATGGGAACATTTTCTATCTGATTTTTCCTTCTTAATAAAAGGAAGTTATAATCCTTTCCCTGGCTTGTTTTCAAAAGAACACACACAGTCGTGCGCCACATAACGACGTTTCATTCAATGACAGACCCCATAGATGATGGTGGTCCCAAAAGATTAGTACCATATGGCCTAGGTGTGTTACAGTAGGCTATACCTTCTAGGTTTGTGTAAGTGCACTCTGTGATGTTCGCACAACGACAAAGTCACCTAATGGTGCATTTCTTAGAATGTGTCTCTGTCGTTAAGCAACGCATGACTGTATTTATCTGGCCTCAGTGCGATAGCCACTGAACGTGATGCAGGGAAATCCAGAGGGGTCTCGTCAGACAGCATTGCCCTGAAGCCCTGGTGAGCAGTGCCAGAAACCTAGAGAAGTTAGAGGCAGGAGCCTTGTATTTGCCTGTTAGGAGGCCGTTAGGGGCTGCGTCAGAGGGTATGAAGCACTTTAACATCCAGTGTCTTATTTGCTCTTCCCAGCAACCATGTAAGTGGTTCTTAGTGTTCAGTTTTGCAAATGTGGAGATAGGGTCAGAGGTTAAATATCACACAGAGATCACACAGCTGGAAAGAGCCAGAGAGAGGATGGGCATTGAGGTCTGTGTGACTTCTGAATCTGAGCTTCTTTGGTCCTTGTGCTATATACGGTGATCTCGGGGAATCGCCGTAGGGTGAATCCCCAGAGCAGCTCACAGTTGTTTTAGGAGGGAGAGAGAGGTGGAAGCAGCAAGGGGGCTACTCCTTAAAATTGTTAAAAAGCAATGGATGTGGAACAATGGGCCATATCCAGAGGTGTAACAGGTTGGAAGGAAGGTATACTTAAGAAAAGTGTGTGTGTGTGCGTGCTTGTGTGTTTGCATGCACATGTGTGTGTATGGGTGTCTGTGTGAAGGAACCAAGGAAAAGAGGTTAAATATGTAAAAAAGAAGAGGTGATTGATGGAGTCAGATCTGAGAGGGTCAAAATTAATAGCATAAATGGATGTCTTAGGCTTGGTAAGGGGAAGGGACACATTTTCCCAGAGAAGAGAAGTGGAGAAGTCAATATGGAGACATTTGAAGGGAAATATATAACAGTGGAAAGAGATGCATCAGATGACTTTGATCTTCTCAGTTAATGTGGAGGCTTGGTCCTCAATGGAGAAGGAAGGAAGAGAATAGGAGCCCACAGAGACTAGAGAAGGCTCAGGCAGTTTGCTAGGGATAAGTAAAAGGATGACTGAACTGTGATGTGAATGTCTAGCTGAGGATCAGAGCTTGGATTTGCTGTGGCCTCTGACTGACAGCATGGTTCTACCAAATTTGGAGGCCTGGAAATGAAAATAAAGAAAGAGGGTAGAGAATGATGGGAGATTTCAAGGCCGGAATGGCATCAGTCAGGCAGATAGACAGTGACCACAGTCATCAAAATAGAAATGACCATAGGACCTGGACCAGGGAGGAGAGATAGGCCAGACCAGAGGTGATGGAGAGGGAGACTAGAGAGGTGATAACAAGAACTGAAAAGGCTCAGTTGGAGGGAGGGGGTGGTCCGAGGGAGAGTGAAGAGCTTGAGATCAGACTTCCCTGATTTTATGATATAAAACTCTCTGGGAAGGACCAGGGTTCTCAAAGTGTGGTCGTGTGGCCAGCAGCATCAGCATCACCTGGGAACTTGCTAGATATGCAGATTCTCAGCCCCATCCTAGATCCACTGAATCAGAGACTTGGGGTGGGGCCCAGCAATCGGAGCTCTAACAAACTCTCCTCTGGGTGAAGTTTGAGAACCCCGGTTTTAAACTGAAGAGACACAGATTTGGGATGCTCATAAAGCCGTTACCTCTCAGAAAAAGAACGATGATCTCCTCTGTCATCAGACAAAGCAGGCATACTTTGCCATTTTTGGACAGGATGTGTTTGCACACGTATTTCCCAACCTATCTGGCCACTCAGCTTGGTAGTGTCAGGAGGTCATTGTTTTTGTCAATCTCGCCATCTGATCAATGTGAAGAGTATCCAGCACAGCACTCAGAAGCTGTTACTAGTTTGAGATGGATTCATGAAAGAATTTCGTGGAATGGGAAGCTGAAGGGACAAACAGAGGCCATTGAGACTTCCCAGTGGGACCACAGACACTTGCTCAAAGCCTGGTGTCTTGTTATCTCAGTGGTGATGGTTGAAATCAAATTTAGGTCTTTCATTTATGTTTTCACACGGGTTCTTAATGAGTTTTGGAACACTTCCTTTTGAAAAGAAAAGCCTCTATTTACCTACCTACAAAGGAGAGGTATATTTCAGAAAGAGAGGTAATCTGTATTTTTCAAAAGAAGATTTGAAGTTTTTTCAGTCCTCTAAAAAATAACACTTTTGACACCAACCAAGGAAGTTAATTGGGAAGGTCGTTGAATCCAAAGTTTTAGAACCTCTGTTTATTTTCGCTTTCAGAATAACCTTTTGTGGGATTGGGTATTTTTTTTTTTTTAAGAAGATTTAGAATGTATCAGGCACATTATGCTGGGGCTGAGGGTGGGCGGTGTGGAGGCCTGTCCCGCTGACCCCTTGGTGTTGATGCAGAGTGTCGAGCTGGACAGCGATGATGGAGGGGGCAGTGCTGCCCAGAAGCAGAAAATTTCCTTCTTGGAGAACAACCTGGAGCAGCTCACTAAGGTTCACAAACAGGTAGGAGAGTTGTTCCAGCTTCCTTCTGCTTCTTCCTCTCCTGGAAAGAAACTCTGCCAGATTTGGCCACAATGGGGGAGAAGCCTCTGATATTGAAGGTAGAAGCACTATACGTTACCAGAGAGCATTCGTGCCAGCAGGGTCCTTGAAATCCTATAGCCCTCAGTGACTTCCCTTATATATAAAATACTTTTTTTTTTTTTTATCAACGCCAAACATAAGGGATTGAGTTTGAACTCTCTGGGGTCTGGGGAGTGGGGTGTTCCGTCCTATTTTTTCGTTCTGCTTCCAGTCCCAACCTCAGACCCCAGCTGGCCTCGTGTGTCCCCCATGATGTCTCTGGACCCAAAGGCACCACAGAATGCAAAGTGGGTGCCACTGAGCTGGTTCAGGCCCCTTATTTTTGCAAATGAGGAGCCAGACAGGGAGAGGAAGGGATTTGCTTCATGCCATGAATGGGAGAAGTGGGGCCAGACCACCTTTTCTGCTCTGTTGCCCTATTTCAGGTGATCTTGGGCATCCTCTTAGGTCTTTGTGATGCCCTGGAGTTTGTCTAGAGTGACAGAGAGCAATAACCATGTCCAAACCTGCTGGTGATTTCGGCACGTTGCCTTCTTTCTGTTTAAATGCTGGAATGTTCGACTGTTTTTCCTAAATCCTAAAGACCTGGGATATGATAAAAAGGGTCCAACTTTTTGGACCACATGGCTGAGGGAATGTCATTTCTCTTTGACTTGTTAAGTCCTCTTCAATATTACTGACGATGGCATTTTTCCCCAGAGGGAGGATGACAGATTCAAACATGGTTGAAGTCATTCAAGCAAATTGCTGATGAGAAATATGAAAGCAGAAACTGCCAGGGAACTTGAAATAGGGCTGTGAAGATTATTAACTATTTTATTCATGAATTCAATGAGTATTTGTTAAAAACCTACTCTCTGCCAGGCACTGGAGCTGGTGCTGGGGATACAGGAGTACAGAATGCAGGTGTGGACCCAGAGAGAGTTCACCTTCTTCTAGCACTTTCTGATTTTCAGAACTTTACTTGATCCACTTGGATGCTCACAACGGTCCTATTATGTAGTATCCTTTTTTATAGATGAGAACCTCAACGCTTGTGGTGGTTGAATGACTTACACCAAGTTAGATGGCCAGAAAATAATACAGCTGGCTCTTGTGCCCACTCTTAACCCAAGGCCAGCCTGTTGCTTCTTAATTGAGGGTCTCAGGTAATGAAAGAATGAGCAGTCCCCCCAAGTTACCTGTAAGCCTCTGGGTATGTTGCAAAGTGGGGTCAAAACCACATGCTGGTGTAGACAAAGGGTCCTGCATGGAAGGAGGCCTTCAAAGAGCTCTAGAACATGCATGCCTTTCACTGAGCGCTTTTGAACTTGCTTTGCATTTCTTAGCTTTCACATGCTGATGTCCCAGTGGTCAATTTTCTCACACTAAAAGAGGAAGTAAATCCTGCCCAAGCCAGAAAGTTTTCTGTGGCTGGAAATGGCTTTTAATTTTATCTTACACCCTTCTCCCTTCCTCACCCCAGTGAATCATGTGTTTAGCAAACTGGAGTCCCAGGGAATGGGATTTTTATTTTCCTTTGTTCCTCCCAGAGTTTATGGTCATAGGGGCTTTCCAAGGCGACCTGGCAGGAGGTGGTTGGTCCGCTGCAGAGTCTGCTTCTAGCTGCTCTCCTGTCACTTTCTTTGTCCCGGGCAGTGGTCCGCCCTGCCTGCCGGCCCCACCACCTCGCTGGTAACTCACGTTTCCTTCTCCTCCCGCCGCAGCTGGTCCGGGACAACGCGGACCTGCGCTGCGAGCTGCCCAAGCTGGAGAAGCGGCTGCGCGCCACGGCGGAGCGCGTCAAGGCCCTGGAGAGCGCGCTGAAGGAGGCCAAGGAGAACGCCATGCGGGACCGCAAGCGCTACCAGCAGGAGGTGGATCGCATCAAGGAGGCTGTGCGAGCCAAGAACATGGCCAGGAGGGCCCACTCGGCCCAGATCGGTAAGTGTGCCTCCCACGTGAGCCCATGATAAAAGGTGAGGACTCGGCCGGAAGCACTGATGCTCTGAGGCCGCGCTGATGCTCAGCCCTCCGCTCTGGACCATCTGAAAGGCTGCGGTCAGGCCTGCAGGACCTAGGCCCACCTGCACCTCCCAGCACCCTGCTTTCACCCTGGGAGAATGGGAATGTCAGGAGCCCGCTTCCTTAGACTGAGATATTCCAGTGTACGTTGTGGTCTTCAGAGTTGCTGAGCTGGGCAGGGAACCCAGTCAGCCTAGACTGTAGGCAAAGGTGCTTGGCTGTAAACAGAGGTACACTCCCAGAAATACTGGAATATAAAACTATTTCTCAGCAAGGCCTGAAGGCCCCTTCTGTTTGTACCAGGCGGAACCATGAAGGAGCCCTATGTAGCCAGAAGCCTCAGGGAAAGCTGCTTGCAAGTGCCGGTCTGGAAATACCCTGGAAAGAGGCAGGCCTGGCATCAGTGAGCCAGGTGTGTGTCCAAGCTAGGGAGAGGGCTGGGAAGTCCAGCTCCTTCAAGACGTGGATTCCATGCAGAGAATGAGAGTTAGCTGCTGGGTCCTAGTTCCTAGGATAGAGCCATGGGAATAAAAGGGATTTAGGGATGTTCTCTAGAAAGCCTTTTTCTTAAAATTCAAATATCTCCCATAAAATGTAATATTATTTCCCATCAGGTATTGCTGTGCAGATGTTTTGTAAACCAGCAACTTCACGTTTCTGGTTTTAAGATTATACTTTAGTTTAGTGGTTCATTGCATTCATTAGATGTTATACCCTTTGAAAACCTACTGCAAGCTATGGACCCTCTCCCCGGAAAAATGCATCACAGGCAGAAATCTGCATCCAGTTTCAGGGGCTACACAGATGCCCTGGGAACCCACAGGGCTCCTCAGATAACACTGAAAGTCCTTTGTTTCTAATTTTCCTCAATTCAAATTAAAATAATTGATATGTAAGTTCTCTCTGTCCCCTAAACATCGGGGGCCCTGGATTAACTAACTGTACTAGCAGGAGAGCAAGCCTTCTGTTTTCAGAAAGGTCTGGTGGTTGAGAATTGTCATGTTGATAAGGATTGTGCCTCCTGGTGTTCACGTGGGACCTGTAGGTATCTGGGTGGGGCTGTTTGAGCCCTTTCTGAATGTCTGTTCTCTCCTTTCTGTCGGTTGGATACAGCCAAGCCCATCCGCCCTGGACACTACCCGGCATCGTCTCCAACGGCCGTCCACGCCATCCGAGGGGGAGGAGGTGGCTCTTCGAACTCCACTCACTTCCAGAAATAAATATGAAGTGAGTCCCTGGTGTCGGGGTGGTTTCTGTCCAGGGCAGCCCTGGGCCCTGCCTGGCTCTTGGCCACGTGCACATGGACCTACAGTAGAGAGGAGTTCAGCTCTGCTCAAGCACAGGCCCCGGGGGGTCAGCTTGTCGGGGACCTGGGCCTCCCCTCAGCTCAGTCTGGAGCCTCACGTCTTGCAGCAGGGCCACCTGGCACCACGGGACCCTCCAGGGATAGTGAGGGTGTGGTGAATGATTCACCGGAGCTTTCTTTTGTCTGTGGGATTCTCCTCTGTAGCTGGCATCCGAAAGGGCATTACCTGTTCGTCAGCTGCTTTTACCCGGAACAGACGGATGTGGGAAGTTGCTTTAAGTCTCAGGAACTGAATATAAAGAAAGAGCCAGATAATGGAAAGTCGTTTTTTTTTTTTTTTTTTTTTTTTTTTTTTGTGCTCCAAACGGTGTACAACCATCACTTTATTGACAAACCAAATTTAAGCTTGGGCACACTTTAGTCAACTCATTCTTTCATTCGACAGACGTTCATTGAATGGTTTCTATGCACCAGACATTTTGATGATCAATTGGTAGCTTCAACCTCCCAAGAGAAAAATGGCATCTTTTCTAACCTCAGGTCTAGGAAAGTCGTATTTTTATAATTACTATCTGAACTCAACAAATGGGGTGTTCAAAAATTGTGCTAATTTATACCTAGGTGGGTCCAGACCCCTTGTTTCTTTGAGATGATGGTGTGTAAACTTCTCTTCCCACAATCCACATGCCAACATCGCTCTACCAGCAAAAAGAAAAAAAAAGTGATATGCTTCGGGAGAGAGAGGAAGGAGTGAGCACAAGCCTGTCCTTTTGTACTTGAGATAGAGAAACGAGGTTCCTGGTTGGGCGGGGCAGACAGCTAGGTAGCTAGAAAACTCAGTTTAGAAAAAGTCTGACTTGGAACCAGTAATCCGTGCGTGGGAGGAGGTGGCTCCGAACGTTGTCTTCGGACTCAGCCCGCACTAAGGCAGCTAGCTTGCAAGATGAGTGAGCTTGCGCGGCAAAGCCGCAATGGTCAAGAGCAGCCCGGGAGAGCAGTGGTTCCTTATGCAATCCTTTGTGCATCAGGGTAAGGAAGGCACATGTAGCGGGGCTGGAGCCCTCACTCAGGGAGGGGACAGCACTGCTAAGGCTCAGACAAAAACTTCCAAGGAGGAAGCTTGGTGGCTGTACTCATGCAACTTGCAGTTGAGCTGCCCCAGGCAGCACAGCAAGGAGCAGGACGGGGCTGGTCAGGTTAGCAGGAACAGGAGGGACGGCCGAGGCAGCCATGAGCAGGCCACGTGTCCACCACCATCTGCCATGTCCTAGAAGGGTGGATGGGAAATGATCTTGGCAGTGGGCCACCCGTTCAGATCCAATCTCCCCTTCCAATCAGAAATAAAATCAAGTGGCTTTTGACTATGTGTTATCAAAACATACTTGAAGGGAATTGTAAGTTCCCTGCCCAAGTTGGGCAGCTTAGAACAGAAAAGGCTGAAGCAGCGGTTCTCGAACTTTGGTGGGTATCAGCATCATCTAGCTCCCTGGGACCGAGACTCTTTGAAGCAGCACAGGACCTGGGCCTTTGTGTTTTTACCAAGTACCCCAGATGATTTTGTTAGCCACCAAAGTGTAGGAAATACGATCCTAAAGTAACTGTGGCTTATACAGGAGGGAAATTTATTTCCCTATCATGTAAAAGAAATTTGAAGTGGTCTGTGAGTGGCTGGTAAAAGAACTCTACAGTGACAGCAGAAAGCTAGCCTCTTAACTTTAGACTCACTGTCCTCAGCAAGTACCTTCTTTCCTCAAGTTCACCTCAAGGTCACCAAAATGACTTCTGTAATTCTAGTTATCATGCCTACGTTCCGAGTTTAGGAAGCAGAGAGGAAGCAGGGAAGAGACAAAAGCAGCTCTCCCAGCGGAATCAGCTTCCTTTAAGCAGCCTTCCCAGAAATCCCATATAGTACTGATGCCCACGTCCCTCTGGCTGGAACTGAGCCGTGTGGCTGCATCTAGCTGCAAGGGACGCTGGAAAAGGTGGTCTTTTAGCTAGGCACATCACTGCCCCAAGCAAGAGTAGTGTTCTTTTGTTGAGAGCATGGAGATGGATTTTGGGATGAGCAACCAGCACTCTGTGTTTACTGAACACCTCATATGCAGCTGTGGAGGGGTAATATCTTCATTACCCCATTTGATGTAAGCACGCAGAGTGTATGCTTGGCTCCCAGCAAGCTCTTAGTAAATATTCTGGCCCAGGGGTTCCGGGGTCCAGAGACTGTGCAGTGGACAGTCACTTTCCTCATGAGATCCTATAAAGGTCTGCCAGACCCACATTTTATGTAAGGTATATATGACCAAATATCGGCCATTCATCACCCGTGTATCCACTTCTCACCCTGAAGATTGAAAATCAATAGGTCTGGTGGGACTTTCGAGATCTTCAAAGTAACAGAACCACCCTCATCCATCACTGCGATTCATTTCTTTCTTGACTCAAACTGTTACGAGTGGTTTTGATGATTTTATCTGAAACTGGAACCTCCTGGATCTACTCCATCTGTACATACAACTCCTGTGGCTGGGTGCTTTTCTCATAATGTCTCAGAACAAACGGGCCCCTTTCTGGTTGTCAGGATGGCGGTGTGTTTGAGGGCCCTGGCTTTGGACAAGAGACCTGGGTCGAGTGTCAGGTCTTCTACTTTCTTCAAGTTACTTAACCCCAGAGCTGGTTTCCTCCTCTGTGAAATGGGGAGAATCGTTTCCCTGGGTCATTGGCCTTGATATGAGGACTAAATGAGGTCATGCTTCTAAGCTGTTGGTACATAACAGTGCTCAATAAAGATGACAGCTGTGGTATCGATGGGCAGTGCAGTGCTTGGCACATAGGATGTGGTTGATGAATGTTGGTACATAGTCTCCTTTAATTCACAGAGTTGTTAAAAATAGTTTTTAGTCTCTCTGTAGCAGGAGATTATAACCACTGAGTGGCAAAGGCCCATGTCTGAGTATCCTGTTTGGTGCTATGAACCAAAAGATACTATCATTTTTTTATCTAAAAGTTATAAACAAGAACATTGATTATTTTTAAGAAAATGACTGGGCTTTTGTCACTTGAGGTTAAGAGAAGGACACTAGCCAATGGAGTGGGGAATTATAATTGGAAGGGGGGAGACACTAAGTGATTTTCTAAAAAATAATTGGAAATATGGAATTCATTGCTTAGATAAGATCAAAACTTTTTTGAGATGATCTTTCCCGATCTTTGAGATTCTCGTTCTGAAGTGTGTCTGTCCTGGGTAGCAACAATCTCAGCTGCTGACTCTTCCCAGCCCGCCTGTTGTAGCCAGAGCAGCATATTCATAGTTGGGTGGCCTCTGGTTATCTTTGGGATTTCTTTCTGCTTCATTTCAGGGTTCAAGGGGTATAGTCACAATGAGTGTTTTTGTTTATGCTCAAAGTCTCAGAACAACCAAAGATGCCAACACGTAGAAATCAAAAGAACCCAGGCTATTGCTGGCTTCTAGCTCATCTAGCTCAAATCCAGGGGGGCTGCTCCGGGGGGAGGGAGACCATCTTTTTCAAACTCCAAAGCTGGACATGGGGGCAGTGTAGTGCAGCAAGCTAAGGATATGGATGTGGGATTGACCAGACATGGGTTCCAGCCCTGGCCTTGGCTTTGCTCCTGTGTGACGTTGGGCAAGTTGCTTGATTTCTTTCAGCCTCAGTTCCCTCATTTGCAAAATGGGATCAGGCGCTGACAGCCTGTTCTGTGCTTGGTTTAACAGTGAATGAGCCAAAGAAGGCTCTGTTCTTGTGCAGTGATATGCTTGTCGAGGGGAGGCAGACAGCAGATCAACAAGGTAACTTCAAAGAGTGGTAAGTGTTCTGAAGAAAATAAGAACAGGTTAATAGACTAGAGATGGGGGATGCTTATTTAGAAGAGGGGGTGACATTTGAGCTGAGAACCAAATGATGAGAAATGCCAGCCACGCAGTGACCTGGGCAGAGTGCACAGACACTCGCTGGAAGGTGGGAATGACTGGGGCATATTTGAGGAGCCAGGGGAAGGCTGATAGGGCTGGATCACAGAGAACGGGGGGAGACCATCATCATTCAGGTTGGGGGAGCAGATAAATGAGGCCTTTGAGACCCAGGTGAGCAGTTCAGAGTGTGATCTAAGTGTGCAGGGCACTGGGGGGCTTTGGGCACGGGAGTGGTGGGAGCCGATTCATGATTGAAAAAGGCCACCCTGGACTGGACTCCAGAGAAAGATGGGGGTGGGGTGAGAGCAGGGGCCTCCCCTAGGGGGCTAGTGCAGGTGTCTGCTTGGGAGGGAATAGCACTGAGCCAAGGTAGTGGCAGCAGAGGTGGCAGCAAGTGGTCCGTCAGCCCGTGTGTGAGAGCTGAGGATGGAGGGCAGAGGAGGAGGGATGAGTGGGAATCAAGGGTACTTCCTACGTTTGAGCCCTAGCAACGAGGTAAATATTGGTACCTTTTAACCATCACTGGGAAAATTGGGCAATGAGCAGTTTTTGTGGAAAAATTGAGAGTTTAGTTTTCATCATGCTGATTATGAGATGCCTCCTAGATATTCAACCTAGCCCACCATCCAATGTGTAAGTTGAGTAGGCTGTTGGATCGATGAGTCTGTAGCTCAGGAGAAAGGTCAGGGCTGAGACCATAGAGTTATAACCTATAGATTGTGTTTAAGCCCATGGGTCTGGAGGAGGCAACCTGGAGAAAGGGTGGACTGAGCAGGGAGCAGTGGGGAGAGTTCGACCAGGCCCTGGGGACTGGCAAATGGAAAGGTTGGAAAAATGAGGTGGCACCACCAAAGGGGTCTGAGAAGGAGAATGGGAGGTTTGTGGAGGCAGAGGGGAGAGCTGGTTCCTAGGTGTCAGCTGTGTCAAAGGCTGTGCAAGAGCTCCAGGAAGATGACGATGGAGACTGCATGGTTAGTGAAGGCCAGAGGGCAT